GGAGGGGTGTCGAGCAAAATCTTTATAAATGAGCCTCCAGTGAGGTTTGGCAACAAGCAGACTGATTGTTAGCTAGCTTTGGACACTGCAGGCCACCATGACGCCAGGCCCCAGCAGCGCACGCTATATGTACACACACACACACACACACACACACACACACACACACACACACACAGGTCGAAAAAAACTCACTGTAGGCCTGGTTTCTTAGCAACAAAGCAAACATTTTAGTGAGTTTTTTCCTGCAACACATAACCACCAGACCACTAAGGACATTTTTCAACTTTAATAACGTGATTTAGGCTTCACGCTGAAACTTTTGCTCGCAAGCTGCTTTTCTTCTGGTGCTTGTTAGTATCTAAACTTTCATTGTGGGTGAACATGTTCACAAAAAAATGGAAGGCATGAGTGATGTATGCTTGGCCCTTTTTGCAGATGTTACAGTGTTCACTCTCGCTATATTGTAATTGTTGTAGTGATTTATGTGAAGTACTGTGTAATATTCTGTGTATTTTTTTTAAACTGCAAAGGGAAAAAAATCTATTGAGGGATAAATGTTTTAATATTACAAGAAAAATGTTTATTATTGTTGAAGATTTCTTTCACAATAATACCTCTCGTCGGCCACATAGAAGAAGTCATTTTTCAATATTTTTGGAAAACAAGAAGAAACACAATTTTTAGAACACACAATGGTATGTTTTTAAATTGATATTGTACCAAAAACCTCAACCAGATGGGTGAACAAGTAAGCGAAATGAAAAAGACCCAATCAAAACTGGAAAAAAAAATCGTTTTCCAAAAATACTGAAAAATTACTAATTGTGCTATCTGGGCGACGATATGTATTGTCATAAAATGATCCCTTTGTTCTTGTAAATTTACAAATTAAAATCTTCAAATATTTAGACGTTATTTCTGTAAAATTTAGACTTATCACAACTTTATTGTTGTGCTCACATTTGAACGTTCTTCTTGTAATACGACTTGATGATGCACAACTATGAACAAATACAACTTGATTACTGTAAACTTGAAACAGTATTACAAAAAAAACTTTTTTTACATAATAGATTTTTTTCTTGAAATTGACAAATGTATTCAAAAATATGTTTTTGTGCATAAAATAATGACTATCACAAAATTACTACTTTCTTTTTGTAAAATTGTAACTTTTGTCAAAAATTGAACACAACGGGATTCAGTTGTTCAATTGGGGCTCAGTTCTTTTTTTTTTTTTTTTTTTAAATAAGGAGTCAGAACTGTGCTTCGCGTGTAACGTGCACTGAGATGACTTATGTTGTTATTTGACGCTCTACAAATAAAGTGGAAATGAATTGAATGTCATGGTGGTATCATAATTTTCCTTTTCAGTAAGGCCACAATACTCTTAGGTAGACTCCCACGCTGATTCACAGCACACTACAATCAGCACACTACGAGGACAGAAGTCTTGGAATTGCTGGCCGTGCCAATGACGGGGACTGAACATGCCAGATATGAATGTGGTCCCTTTTGCACCAACCGCAGCTGGGTAGCGCCATCTATTGTCTGCCAACCTCACCAGACAGCCTGTTACTTTGGATGGAGAATGTTGTTGCTTGTTCTCCAGGCGCCTAATTATAAAGGAGAATGTGCTTCATGCAGCAGGCTGCCAGATGAGGAGGAAGAGTGGCCAAATCAGGCACTCTGTCTGTAATTATGCTTCACAGGCATTTGGCACAGTACGCAAGATTTCGCACTTCTTTGAGTGGGCACACGATGGGGCTGGGCTGAGGGATTGGGGGTGTGGGGGGCACAAAGTTTTTCCACACCAAGGACACTAATTGCCTCATTACTCCCCAATAAGTCATTTTCTGAAATTTTTTTCCCCTCTGCGACTAACACCTTAGACACACGCATCACACACAATGAGAGGGGAGAGGATATTAAAGCCATTCAAGCAACAAACAAGAACAACAGAGGCAGCTGGGTCCTGTCAGCTTCAATAATGAGACTGAAATATTAGACGGAGGGAACAGATGCAAAAACTAACCATGCTAAAGAGCCAGCAAGGGAATTTAGTCTTGGGATTACTTCAGTTCTATTACATGGCTAGTTTATATGTCAAACGTGTAGGCCAGGAGGAACAGAAACACTCCAGTGAACAACAAAGACGAACAATTTGCCATCTATTGAATGAGTCTATAATGACAACATTACCTGATATTGAATGACAAGGTCCTAGTTGAGACAGGGCGGACAAGGATGTGAGAATTTCATGATCAAAGCTGTTGCATATGCAGCAACAAGTTTGCCAGGTTTGACATTTGCCTGATATTAATGTTTTAAAAATTAGATACAGAATGCGGTCCACTGCAGATGCCACTGTGGAACAAGTGAACAAACCAGAACAGTCGCACTTAGATGAGACAGAGGTCTTAAAAACATCTCTGTGGCATGCTTTTTGTCAAAATATGGAAATATACAGTGTACTGTATATTTACAACACATTTCTTGCCCCTAAAACAATAATCAGTTTTAGGGGCAGATCTGTCTCGTGTGATTGAGCAAGTGCTGATCCTGTCCCACATAGTGCTAGACCTATCATGAGATCCTTCTCATCTGTCTATAATCTGGCACACCCTTCGCTCTTTGCCCTCATCCATCCCATATGTTCTCCTCTTCTCCCTGCATGTTCCTTGCTGTAACTCCAGGAAGAATCCAGAGCTTTCAGCTGTGCAGCTCCTCATCTATGGAAGTCACTTCCACAGTCACCAGGAGATATTGACTTGTTCCACAATTTGAAGTCCCGCCCTAAAACTCGTCATTACCTCTGCCAACGTCATCAGGCTTTTACGCTTTTTATCACTTTGTTGTTGTTATTCCTCACTGTCACTATTTTATTGGTGTGTTAAGTCTTGAGTCTCGTAAAAGGCGGCTGCAAATTAGGGATGCACCAATACTGATCCCAGAATTGGTGCCCATACTGTAAATCTTCACTTGTACTCGAAAAATGCTCCGATACTTCAAAACGAATGCCATTTCATCAGCCTGACATACAGTAGGGCTGGGAGATTACGATAATTCCTTGATTTAGAAATTTACTATTTACTCAACTACCAAAACGTAACTATAATTTGAATCTAAAAGAAAAATAGCAAATAAATTAGTAACAAGTGAAATAATAAAATAGCAATAAAAAAATAATACAGTACTACTGTATACTGTAACTACCCACTGTTCCTGCTGAGTGCACTCGGGCTGGGAAAAAAAGTCGACCAACTCAGTTGTGTCAACCACAAAATTGTATAATATATTAATAATTTTAAAACCATATTTGTGATGCCCAGAACCAACTGCCCATGTTAAGCCATTTTCATACTGCATTTAGCAGGGGCACAGCGCACCATCGTCAAACCAATTAGTAGTGTATGTGATGAGGGGCATGACACCACAGAATGAAGCGTTGCTGAGCAGCAGGGAGCAGCACAGCAAGAGAACTTCTGCCATGACGGCGAGATGCCTTGAATAGGAACATGTCCCATTCGAGCGCATTGTTATAGTGACGTGTGAAGAGCGCATCCAGTAGGACAGGAGGTGGCGGAGTGATTCAGTGTTAGTTTGGGAGATGTACTTCCAGGTAACGTCATGATTAAACTATCCATGTTCGTTTTTCTCAGCTGCTTGTCTCCTCCCTCTTACAATAAGCAAAATGAGGGCTTTCTTTTGCAGCAATGAAAGATACATTTTGTCAAGTTGAGATTTAACCAGTGGCAAAATCTCAGTTTTTACTTCTGGTATGCTGCTACGTCAACACTTCCAAATTTGGGCAAGCTGGCAACTGGTCATTTTGTGCTGCCGTGCAGCACTTTCATACCCAGTGCAGTGTCAATAGGGTTTTATAAACAGATCAGCAGCTTGTGCTTGAACTGCTTCCATCTGTACTGCCTGACAGACTGGGCTCTAGCACTCTTTTTTTGGGGTACTCGGAATAACCCTACCAAATGTCACATTTGAACAGCTCTCTGAGTTTCTGAATGGTCGGAGTGAAACAGTGCACGCTCTGTGCAATATTTATGGATGTACTCACGACGAGGGAATAAGGATTTTGGGTGCAAGTCCAAGCTTTAACTCTTCTTCGTCTCGGTTTTTGTAAAAATAAATTTCACCCCAAAATGCAACTTATATGATTTTTTTTTTTCTTCTTCATGTTTCATTTTTTGACTGGTGCCACTTATACTCCATACTGACTTCTTTACATAGCACTCACAGTTAGACCTCTGGACATTTTGGTGTCATCAATTGATTTAATATGCACGTTTTGGCAAAGAGGGAAAAGGTCGGAGTACCTGGAGAAATTACATGCAAGCATCGGCAGAGCATGTGAACTCCTATCAGGAAGTCCAGAGCTGTGATTCGAACCTGTGCCAGAACCTCAAAACTGTGTGGTTAACCACAATGCCACCATGCTTCTGAATTGACGCTACATAAAGTTGAATAGAATTCAACATACTTTAGTAAATTAATTTTATACTTGATGAGTAAGGAGGCATTCTGTCAGTAAACAAACGTTTAAAATAAATAAATACTTCTCAGAATGTGTCGCCCTTCACAACAGAAATAAAGCTAAATGTTTTCGTGCCTCGTTAAAGGACAATTTTAAATGCAATTCAAAAGTTTTAAAGTAGCTTGAGGTTGGTGGAGTCTGCAAGGCAACCGAACTTCCGGTAGTTTGGTGCGCGGGGCCTCGCGTTGCAATAAATGTCGCACGAGCGAGAATATAGAATGTCAACAACTCTTCTTCCTGGTGCAGTCCAAAAGTCGTTGACATGTAGCCACATGTATGGCAGCAGGCAATCGCTGTGTTTACGTCGCGGTGCGATGGACAGGAAGTACAGAAAAGCGACTCCCACCACACCTAGCAACAGGGTTGTCAAGGAGCAGGAAGCCACCGGCTAATTCGTTAGCCTAGCCGCTAATGCTAACCGTGAAGCTCGGCCGTCGGGCTCTCTTACCGATGTGGTTATCCTCGATGTGCACGATGAGCTCGGCCAGGGAGTCAAAGTGGAGTCCGCAGCTGCCGAACCTGCAAGCGTTGGAGAAGAAAGAAGCAGCGGCGATGCCTGTCATGGTCACTGCTGCATTGGAAACGCAGGGTACCTCGGCAGCGGGCTGACGGCCGGAGCACAGCGGTGCGAACAGCTGGAGCTTGCAAGGGCGCTGTGCTGCGCGCCGGCCGGGACTTTTCTAAGATGCGTCAAACTCGAAGCAGACTAGTAATGTTATCGGAAGTAAACTGTCTTGCCCTTCACAACAAAAGTCAAACCCGGAAATAATGTAAAAGTTGTAATTGACTATTGAATGACATGATAAAATGCAATTGCAGTACTGTAGTATCAGAGTCACACTCTATCTATCTATCTATCTATCTATCTATCTATCTATCTATCTATCTATCTATCTATCTATCTATCTATCTATCTATCTATCTATCTGTCAGTGTGTGTGTGTGTGTGTGTGTGTGTGTGTGTGTGTCTTTACTTTTGCCTTTCTTTTCAAATACTGCTACTAGTGTCTTAATGTTTTTCTTTGAAATAAAGTTCATTCATTCATTCGTTCATTCATTCATTCTACTGCCCAAAGACAGCTGGGATAGATAGGCTCCAGGACGAACCTCGTGAGGACAAGCAGAATTAGAAAATGGATGGAGGGAGGATGGATGGATAAATCGGTACTAATACATTTTCGATGTTCAGTGACGAAATTAGGTTTTTTTTTTCGTTCCTCAAGATACAAGTGACATTTTATCCAATGTCAGATCCAAATTTGCGTTATGTCGAATCTAATTTTTGTCGTGATTTGTTAGTAAAATCATTTACTCCGGGAGGGGCTGCGGCTGGTGTTCATCAAGCATTTAAATCAATAAGAGTGCTTTAATATTTGTTACATGAACGACGTTAATTCTACTCAAACTGGTTAATCAAAATGTATTTTCACATTTGTATTTATCATCATTTATTTTATCATAAATAATAAAATAAAAACATTACTAAAATGTGCACATTTTTATTCAATCATTGATTCATTAATTAAACTTTAGAAACTTACAAATGGAGTCTACGCGGTTCGGACAATTGATCGATAGCGAAATGAAGCCGTTGATGATACTGTAGTTCATTTGCCAGACTTTGGTGCAAGCAGCGTGGGTTCGGTTTCTACTCAGTGTGCATGTTAATGGTCGTCTGTCTCGATATCCTGAGGTGACGAGTGTTTTGCCCCAAGTCAATTACGATAGGCTTCTGTTCTCCACGACCCAGAAGAGAAAATGGATGGATGAAAAATAGCCTACAACCTAAAATAACTATATACATTTAATATTACTAAACTTAAAAAAAAATTCAGATCTGGTTTATATTTTAATTTTAAAAATCAAACATAGCTCTCTGAGTTATGTGACTAAGTGGTGTAAAACAGTGTAACTGCCACAGTGGGGCAGTGTTTGTTAAATTTAATTCATCCGAGTGTGGAACTGATGTGATGGTAAAACATTTTGCTGCAATTTCGGTTTTGACAAAGACGGCATGCAGAATAGGTGGTGTGTTTTGTCATCTTTCGGGACCACTACTGAGCGATGACAAAAGTGCTGTCTCCATTTTTAATACATTGTGTACATACCAGGCATCACTAACTGGTTAGCACATCTGCCTAACAGTTCTGAAGTCCCCCAACTCCCTCATACACACACACACACACACACACACACACACACACACACACACACACACACACA